AAGAACCATCCCCTCGCTCAGTCCAATGGGTTCTCTATCTTTACTACATGGTATTCGTCGGCCTTTGGAAATAGTAAATCAGTTCCTTGCCTTCCCCAGCGTCGAAGGTGCGTACTATTCGCTTTCAGTAAAGTAGTGTACACCGCCAACAAAGACAAGCAATACAGGGTCTTCAAGGAAGAGGTTAGGTCCCTAGCTTCAGAAGTGGCAGCAAAGCACTTGGCTAAATCATCATCGGCAGATCAAAGCGCAGTAAATAGAGTCCCAGGTGCAGGAGAGGGAAAGGTAGCAAGATCTCGGCCCAAAATTGACATAGGAGTGATTGAAGCGATTGGACAGCTTTCCTTAGCCTTAATCATATCCCTTCCTCTAAGGAGTGAAGTTTGAAGGAGAGAGAAAGCTCTTTTATCAAATAGGCTAGCTTCACTAAAGAAATTGACTATCAGAACAGAAACCATACTACCCGAAAGCATACCGCCCAAACAAAGGATACCATCTCAGGCATAGCAGAAAGCAAGGTCAACCAAACCAATCTACCCCAGCCACCCAAGCCAATATCGCCGACAAGGAAGGAAAGGCTACTGCCTTGGCTACTAAAGAAAGGAGTCTACCTATCACTAAGTGGGAAATGAACCCCGGTGCTAGCTTTTATCCTCCACTCTCTAACTAAAAGCCGGTCTAAAAAGTCTATTTTGGCTAAGTCAGCAAAGGGGTATGCTTTTCTTTCGAGCTAGGTAGTGAGCGGACTAACCCTAAAAAAGGGAGAGAGATTCAACCGCTAAAGAAAGCTAGCAAATCGACGATTTGAAGTCGGTTCGGGCCCTCCTAAAGAGGAGAGCCAGTCCCTTTCCCCTGCCAATTATTCAATCAGCTTCAAGATCTTGTGAATAGTCTCTCGTGGAACGCACCTTGACATAACTTTCTATTCGGCTAAGAAAAAGACCTCTCCCTGCGATAGATCTGCCTTAACGGGGGATACAGTCTGCATGAAACATTCACTTAGTTGATAATTCCACCCAGCAGCGGTCAGTCTCGCTACCTTTCTCTATGAGCGGCCGCCATCTAACCAGAATTTCAGTGTGTCAGAATTTTAGTACAGAAATTGGAGTTCAAAAGCTTTCTAAAAGTCTTCCCTTGATTTTCTTATTCTGCGCCCGTAGTGCGGTAGTCGGGTTTTATTACTTTTCAAGTCAGGGTAGCCTGCTAGCGCTTCGCCTCCGTTTGCTTGGTCGTTTGTTCGTAACAACAAGGTAGCTATAGTAGGTGGATGAGCACCCCCTAGCGCGAAAGCCGTTGCTTGTTTGCTTGCAACGTAAATAATCACTCTTTCTCCTTTTCTTTGCCGGGAAGTCAGTCCGTTCCGTGGATTTGATCAAGCAAGCAAGCTAGCGAGCCAGGAAACTGGACAATTGAGGACACAGGAAACACAAAGATATGAGAAAGGTTCGAGTGATTTCGACTAAGAGTAATTCCACTCTGAAAAAGGTTGAAAAAACGCCTTTCCATTTTCTCTCATTTCAATCTCCGCGAGTTCGGTTTGTCTACAAGACTCAATCAAAGTAGTTCGTCCCCCTTCTCAAGTTCCAGATGTCAGCTCTTTCACTTGGTGTTCCCTATTCTAAGACATCAACACCCGCTTTACCTTGAACTTCGACTTAGGTAGGTTTCGACTTCAGCCTCAGCATCGTTCTCTCTTTCTTATTCTTCATCCGAATCCTATTTTTTCCTCCTTGTAGCTCCCGAAACGGATGTTTTAGTTGTTCGTGGGGTTTGCCTATATGCATGTATTTTCTTTCTTTTCTAACGGTGGAGCATAGTGAAAATAGAGCCGTTTAAACCACGAAGTGCCCTATCTTAAGGTGTTTGCCGTTCGGGCTAGATAAACTTACCTTTCTCTGCCCTAGGCATGTTCCATTAAACCCGTTTAGGGAGGGTAACCCATGTTAGGACGAGACATCACCATTCCTGGATTCAGGCAATGGGACAGGTTCACCCAAGAAGGGGAAAGAGAAAGGAATGTAATAGAATAGGCGCGTTGGCCCTAGAAGAGAAGAGATCGAACCTAAGAGCACAGAAACCAGCTGAAACCCGGCAATCCCCACTCGCTTCATTCTATGCTTGAAAGGATCAGAGACAGAGGGACAGACGCAAGTCGATACAACCAGAATGACTAACAAAAGTACGTTCAGTTTCAGCATCCGGGCCGGACCGACAGCGGAAGCCTAGCACTAAGTGCAATCTCCAGCGACAACGGTCCAAAATGCATGAAGATGAATTGCCCGCAAACTATGGACGGTATAGAAGATTCACTTCACGCATACACCGAGAACACGGCATAGCCACACCCCTTATAAATAACAAGGCCATTGCTTGGCTGGTTTCTTAAGTTAATTGGGTCACAATAGCTGGTGTGAAGCAAGAAGGAAGAGAGAGGCCTGTCCACAAGCTTGATGTTCAAAAACCCAGGATCAGAGTCCTTCGCCCTAGAACTTGTAACTCTATTTTCATTGGTCGCTCCTTGATTAGAGCATGGCAATTCGATTAAGATTTAGCAATCAATTAAGAAGGAGCTACCCGAGCTCAAGAGACAGCTTTGAGTCTTTCCCCTGGGTTCTGAGAAGAGCTGGTTTATGGGGCACCGGGCTAGCTCGCAAAGAGAAGTTGAATCATAAAGATCCAGACTGCACTGACTGGGGCTGACCTTTTAGGTCAATAGGGGTAGTTCATGCGCTTCATTTTTCAGTCTAAGATCGAAATCCTTCGCTCTGGAAACGGTTCGAACTTTACTAGGATATAGGGCGCAACAACTGAACTATTTGATTAATACTTGACCCTTCAATTGAGTATAAGTCAGCAAGCAGCTTCCCCTCGGTCGGTTGAACCAGCAGCTTCCCCATCACCTCCTCCAGGTCAGGATGGCACCTCTTGCAAGATTCGTATTCTTCCCAGCTCCCAACCTGCCCTTCGCCAGTTGGAAATGGAGGCAAGAGGTCGCCCAAACCCGTGTTTTTTGCTTGAAAAGGACCACTACTAAGGGAGGGTGGAAGGGAGAGGCGTACAGATGAGAAAGTGGGTGTCACGCGTACTAATTTTCTCGGTCTGTCCGCTGAAAGCGAGAGGAATGGGAGTGGCTCTACTGTTAAGAAGATAAACAGAATTAGAGTTACCGCTTTCTTTCATTTCGGAATGTGGGACGACAATAGAGGTTCTCGCTTTCAGAGTTTAGGTACAGGCCCATAGATAGGATGGAGGTTCATTTGATTCGCGCTTGATTACAAGAAGCTCAAAAGATAAGGCCAAGGAAAGAGGCGAAACTCCACTATAAAGGGGAAGAGTGGCCACTCGACCGACTATCATGAACGAAGTGAGGGAAGGAGTTCGGATTAGATACCTTAGGAGAGAGACGTACGGTATTAAGAAAGAGAATCAGGTCTTTGACGATCCAGTATTAGCTAGCAAGTGTATGGACTCATACTTTGATGACTCCCTAGTGGCCAGAGAAGCCTTAGCTTCACCCTTGGACGTATCATCTACTCTCTCTAGCTCTCGACTTGACTAGAACATTTCTTTAGCTCTTTCGCCTGGTACTCACTCCTAAAGCAAGCCTAAACGCCCTTGCGCCTGCTATTCCCTCTTCAAGAAGTTAATCCGGATCCTCATCCTCATCTCTTGAACTCTCGGCTGATTCAGCAGGAGCCATTCTTTCAACTCAAGCCCTTCTTGGTCACATCTTCTTTCTCTTTCCTGGTAAAGCTATGAAAAGCACCCCGGAAAGCATAGTCAGAAGGGAAAGCGAACCCAAGCAAGGTCAACCTCACCACAGAAAAGATTTGAACTCACAAGAGAGCTAAAACCAAACCAAGGTTTTCGAGTCGATTTGAACAAGAAGAGCTTATTCCATTCCGAACAAGCGCTAAAGAAGTGACTCTGTGTGGGATCGATCGCCCTACTTCTTTATTCTTTATCGCGTTGGGCCGGCGACTTAAAAAAGGCCAAACCTGACTGAACCAAACCAACCTCAACTGATTGAACTCAAGCAATCGCAGCTACTTTCTCTTCCACTGCCTTCCCACGGACTTACTAAACCACCAACAACGGCAAGAGAAAGAGCTTTTTCCGAGAAGAAAGAAAAGGTAATCATGAAAGTCAGCCTAGCCTAGCAGAGAGAGAGCGTTGGATTGGGTTCTTCCTGCTTTCAGGAAAGTGAGGCATATTTTTATGTTAAAGTTATCCCATCGGTGTCCGCTCTGATCTTCCTAAACTCTGACGCTAAAGCCCTTCTATAGGTTCTCCTCCAGAACTCGGAGGTTCTCAGGCCTCGGACGTACTTTCCATTGGCCATTGGAGAGGAAGCGAGTTAGCAAGTTAAAGAATGAGAATCCAAGTTTTTCATTCTCATTGCCGGGTAGAGGAGCGAAAGTAAGCCTACAACTAGGCAGCCAATAGCTAGGACGGACAGTAGCAGTAAGACTTCCAACCATTAGCAAGGCAAGTTAACTTGAAGCAAGAACTCTTAGGCAAGGAGGGGCGTAGCCTCTTTCGAGATTCGAAGAATAGCGTATATAAAGAGTAGTCAGAGGCAATTCGCTAATATGGAGCTGTTTATATCGGCTTTCTTTCCTCCAGCATGAAACGGGGTTGAGCGATGCGCATTCCTTTACGCATTCCGCTGACCTTTCCATTACCGTGGGAAAGCCTCACTCTCGGTGAAACGGATAACTCATCTGGATAACAAACAGAATAAGCCGATGCGAGTCTAACAGTTCTACCAGTAAGGAAGGAAGGGGAAGAAGCAGGCAGGGATAGATATAATTTGGTAGGGAAAAGTGCTTTGTTGGACTTGTTCCCAGGTTTTAGAATCAAAGATCTTTCAACGCGTTGATTTCCTACTAAATAAACCGGGCTTCTATCAGGAGTTTTGTTTGTCGATCGATGTGAAAACTCTCGCTTTATGCTTGAGAAACCGCCTTACCGGCGATCTGCTTCATGAATTGAAGGGTGGAACTAAGGAAGACAACTGAATACTGGGAATTCAAAAAGAAGGATCTCCAGAGGTAAATATCTGGCATTGAGCCCGCCTATCATAAGTATGAGTTGGGGGAGCGAGATAGAGAAAAATACCCAATGGACGGTGAAAAAGCTTTCCTGCACGAACTATGTAACCTTCTGTCTTGCAGCCTTGAAGCTCAGTTCTATTCTCCCGCACACCCGCTCTTGCAAGGCTAGCCGGGAGGGAGGTGCTTTTTCGGGTTTGGTTTGCCTCCTTCCTTAGGTTACATAGTTCGGTCCAACCAACTCATAGCCCTCCCGGATTCAACAACCTACATCCCACACGGGTAGGGAAATGCGGAGACATCAGATCAAGACCGCCTAAATCACCAGACCAGAGGGCCATTCTCACTTTTTTTGAACAAAATCTTTTATTCTAACCCAAAGAAAAGAGGCTATTACCTATAACCCTTCCCGTCTATTTCGCGGAGGCGGGGTAAGAACTTGGAAGAGGCACAAGTCATCTTCGAATTACTGACGGAAAAGGGAATGCGGTTTGTTTCCTCTTTCTTGAGATGGTGTTCAGCATAGTCTCGAGCTTCTTGACCATGGTAATCCTGTTCATAACCTCCCAACTGTCATCTTTCCGGGCCACGGAATCTGATTTTGGGGTATCTGACCACGAGGGTTCAGGTGTCATCATCGGGGTAGTGGAGAATGAAGGTTTGCTCCTTGAGTACAAGACATAGTAGTCGAATTTTCCTGAGGGTTCTCCAAGGAGATCGACCTCTGGGTCACCTGCTTCATACCTCTCTCGAAACTTCTGCTGCATGGTGGGGAATTCCCAACTTGCAGCGGGCGTCAGTGCCCCTCTCTCGAATAGAGGAGTGAGAGCGGTAGGTGTATAGATTGCTTGATAAACAGGGGCCCCACTGTGCTGGTAGACAATGATAGGGAATTCTAAATCTGCAGCAGGTAATAAAAATTCTTGGTCGATTTGAGGAGCTACTGATGTCACAGTAGAGTAGGTCGATCCAGTTTAATCTCCGGAGGAACTTTCTGCTTTACTGGACTCTGCCTGCCAACGGTTATCATTGCTACTTCTGGGAAATCTTCTTCGTTCTTCAATTGCGAGCGGAGCCTGGCACTAGTAGGTGCGATGGGGTACCATGGAGCGAATGCTCTCTGTGGGGTGCTGATTACATCCTTGGATGGGTTCCAAAGCTTCTGATCAATGAGGTCTTGAATCTTATGCTTAAGGTCGTAGCAGTCGGAAGTCTAATGGCCTGCTCCTCCCATGTGATATTCACGCCTGGTATTAGGATTATGATTCCTGGGAGGTGGATCTGATACTGGTCTGGGAGGTATGGGTGTAACCAACTTGGCTTCCAGCAGCTGCGGAAGCAATTGTGATAATGATACAGGAAGAACGCGGAATTTGGAGATTAAGACCTTTATTAGGATATGAATAGCTTATATGCCATTACCCTATCACCCCCGCCGGGGGCAGAACTAACTCGATAAGATCAAGATCCATTGAATCCCGGTGTAATCAGTACGTATGACTCTGTCCTCCCGCGATGTACGCATTGTAGGCAGTCATCATAAACATCAGCATCTTGTAAATCCGCTACTGATTCAATCCATCCAATGACCATGGACAGATCGTCCGATGAGAGAACCCTGAAGGAAAGACTTACTTGTCTTCATATGAATGAGAGGTTCATTGGTGCAGCTCTTGCAAATTTCCCAAGAGCATTGATGGCTTTGTTTCCTCCATCATCCGTGCTGGAAATTTTCTTCTGACTCGGTGACAGTAGTTGATGCCAAGCTCTCTTCGTAACTTCCCGTACTATCTGAGTACTCTTATTTACTGGAATCTGATGACGATTAACATGCTTGCTGCACATCGCCACTATCATTCCCAGCGGCTAGTTGCCTGATTCTTCTCTCTTTCCCGGGGGGTGGTAGGAGCGAGAAAGCTTCTCCGTCCCTTATCTCAATTCCCATGTCACCCTGTCTTGTTGTAGCAGAAGACGATTCCGGCTTCTGGTCAGAGGGCCTCTGAAAAGGATAGGGATGGATGATGCCTGGAACTTCAAGGTAGCTTTTCCGTTTGACTCGGTCTTCCTTAGATTGGATTCCGTTCCGTCAGGCTCGTCGAGATCACTATCGATCTCAATTGGTCTATTTATTCCGATGGCGTGGAACTTTAACAGCCTTCAGCTGAGAGACATCATCACATGGGTCCGGACCCCAAGCGTCTATAGCTCTGAGAGTACTGTTTGCCCAGTTGAGCTGTTGATGTATCAGACTTTTACCTTCTGGCTTCCCTTTGGTCATCCCAGTGAGTAGAGCTCCCGCATCAATCAAAAATTATTCCCCCTGTCATGCTGTCCCTTCTGCTCCTTCATCTCATCTTTCAGTGGATAGGTTGGTATGTCCGCCCCTACCAGCTCCAAGACTGACTTCGGATATTTGGATCGAAATGGAATTCCCGAAAACCAGGGCTGGATTCTTAGACTTGTTCTGCTTCGATAGAGGCGCTCTAACTGTAAGTGGAATAACAATCATTCGGCCGATTGCTCTTATCCTTCCTTATCAGAGAGGGGCCCCCTTAGGGAGCGGGGCTTATTTATTATTTATTGAAAAAGGGGGAGTGAGGGGGGGGGAAGGTCCGGAAAGCCCTCACTTTATTGATGGGACATTTTGATCACCTTTTCCTCTCACCCTCCCCCGGTTCTGGTTCAGGAAAGGGTCAACGCAAGGATCTTACTTCGAAGCAATCTCTGGAATTTTCCCTTATCCGAACGGGTCTTGCAAGAAAATAAAATTTCATATTGAGCTCCAAATATACGCTATTGAGATGGGATGGCTCCTACTAGCTCTCCCCCCCTAAGAACCGCACGTGCGAGTTCCCCCGCATACGGCTCAAGTGGCGAAGGCCCTTTCTTTCGCGCTTGGTAAGCGCTTCGCTGTAGCCAAGCTTCGACCGCGACTGCTCGTCGCTTCTGGCCGCCTTATTCCGTCACCCGAGATCCAAGTCAGCACCGGAAAAGATCTCTTGATTCCTCGCGGCCGGGCCGGCTTGGAAGCAAGCTACCTCTTGCCTATCTCACCCCCTTTCTTCTTATTAGTAAGATAGGTTGCCCCTTTCCCTTTTAATAATAAGGTAAGCTTCCAAAGCTCCTTCCTTCAGCTGGGTGAGCCTTCGCTTTTTGGATCGTCTTCTGCCCAATGCGGTACCCCCCGTTTTTTGGTTCCCATTGGGTTTACCTTGTTCACAGGTCGACCCCATGGCAGCAAGAAAAGGCGATCTTGTGCTATACTCCGGTGATCTCTTTCCTACCGAGACACGCAAACTCCCATCGTGTCCCAGATCACATTCCGTGAATCGAAAGAGGAAGCCTACTCATCTATCAGCTCCTCTCGTAGATCGGTGCGGTTTTACGAAGCGTCTAAGCACAGTTCACTCACGTTGATCAATCAAGAGGTTTGCCGCCACCCCTTAAGGTTACCTGTTGTATCATACACTTCTTGCATTCTTTCCCACGCTTCATACCTCCTCTTTCTTCTTAAGGTAAGGTAAAAGGACAGGCATGGTGGGGTAGGAGCATCCAGTCGGAAATCTTTTTGGCTTGACCAAGAAGTCTTATGTCCTCCGAGTCGCACGGCGTTTTAACCGAAAGAACTTCTTGCGCAATTCATGCGTTTCTGTTTTTATGACCAAAAATTGTTTCTTGATTTTCATTTCAAATTGTTCTCTGGACTTTTTATCAATATGAGGTGATCGTAACACAGTATATAAGACTCGTGATTCAGGCAATCCAATCTTCCTTGTGTAAGGCGGAAGCCCCCAAAAAAGGTTTTCCTTAAACTTAAATGGGTGATCAAAAGATTTAATTACTATGCGTATCTTGGTGGTCGTTACTTTTGGTGATCTTTCTTTTTGGCTGACTCCTCTTCTTGTTCTATTGATCAGAAGCATCCAGCAGCCGTATCGGCCCCGCCTGAGATAGGTGCGCGGGAAGACGAAGAAGAGCCAAAAAAAAGAGAATCCACTTCAATTGGATCCATCTCGTCTTGAAACCCGCCCAAGAGACAGCAGAGGTCGGAAGAGGACTCGCTGGTCCCATATAGAATGAGACCAGGGATCCCCCATCCTCCCCAACAGTGGACTCGACAAAAGATGTATCGGGCAAGAAAGGAAAAAAAAACCACTCCTGACCTATACATAAAAGGATGCCGAAGTGCAAAGAGAGCAAAGGAAAGGATTGGTCGTACGAAGACACCCTCTTTCTTCTTAAGGTAAGATAAAGGGACAGGCATTCTGGGCAGGTCGCAATAAGTCGCCAGTCGAAGGTTTAGACCAATCGCAATTCATCACCATCTTGCCCGCTTCCAATTGATGACTGGCTATTATATAAGTGTTGACCTAAGCCCCTGTGCTGGGGCTCGGCTCCCGAACCGTACGTGAGCTGCCTCGTACGGCTCTTCCTAAGAACTTGAAGCCCCCTTTCTCTAAATAGAAAAAAAATGCATTTACAAGACAAAAAACACTTTTTCAAAAAGCCTTCGCCCTCCTATTCAACAGGGCTATTAGAGAAGCAGCTTCGTTCCTTGACTTCTTTGCTCAGTCAAGCTTACTTGTTCCTTAGTGTAGTCGTCGGTCTTACCACCAGAATGCCTATGATATAGTGATCGGCCTTTCGAATGCGTCCTTCCTTACTTTTCTGAGAAGCCCTTTACATAAAGGACAGGGGGCTGTTCACCTTTGGAAACTTAGCTACTTAAGTACTACTCATAAAGTAAAGGCGAACGGGGCTCCCAGGCCGGGACGTCTAGCAGAATGCTTGGCCTCCTGCGCTGGAAGCGACACCCGAAGGGTGAGCTTCTGGCGGTTAGCTTCTAGCACTAGATAATAGGCATTAGGCATTCTGAGCTGGAAGGAGGCAAGCAAATGAAGGGAGGCATTACGGGCCGACTAGAAGAAGCAAAGCTTCGTAGACTCGGCAAGTCGCTTATAGAATGCCGACTACTATTTTCCACTTAATTTAATAAGGATAGGGGGGAGCGAAGCGAAGCTTAGCGAGCTTTATAAGGCCGACCACTACATAAGCCGCTGGCGGAGAAAGCTCTTCGAGCTTCCCTTCATTCGTTGCTAAGCCAAGGTCCCAGGTCTCCGAGTCAGCCCGCGCCTTTTCGAAGAATCCTGCACCCATGGGCATACGGCCTGGCAGGCCTTCCCTTTCCGCCGGAGCTTCATGGGCGTTGCCCCGTTCCCCAATCAGATGTTTGGATGTGAGCTATACTCCGCGAGGAGCCAAACGGGCGTATGGCCTTGCCTTGCCATTTGACCTTTCTTCCCGGGTGACTAGGAATGCTCAGTGACAACCTATCAATTGTCACCGCCTGGCCTCTCTTGCTACCACGGTAGCACCTAGTGTGGTCAGCACCAATCGTGTTCGGGCAACGAAGCTTACACTCATTCACATTGGTTCATCCTGCTATGCCCTGGGCCTTTTGCTCTTCTAACGTAAAAGGTGGCCGGCCATTCGTCAAGGCCCAGGAATCCGCTGGACATCTCAGCGGCGGGATTTGATACCCGCATCCGATCGAAGTTCCATTTTAGTGCCCCCCTAACATAAAGGAGAGCTCTTTCTAGGTGGGTCGCTTCGCGCAAGACATTGCTTAGGACCAACGGGTCACACGACAGGTGCACGATCGACTTTGCACGTTCCATCCTTCGGCCCTTCGTCTATCGCCTTGGTATAAAAGCCTTGATCCGTCTTCGGCTTCGATTCGTTATGCTCAGAAGCTCCAACAAGCCCTAAAGTCTCTTGCCGCCTCTGCCAAGAGAGCGCTGCTTTACCTTTGATCCTATGTGCCCAGAGAATGCTATGCGTTCTCCACTTTCGGATCTCGCAAAGAGAGATCGTGTTTTTTCCTCTGACTTTCTCTCTCATTCGCGGAGCGAAGAAAGCGGGCTTTGCCCCAGCTACCGCTATCCTTGGGAAACCAAAAGAGCTACCGAAGGAAAGGGATGCAGTCTCTCCCTTGGCCTTTGGAGAGGAGAAGGCAGAGAAGAAAACGTCCTTCGCGCAAGTTTTTTTGCTTTCTGCGCCCTTACTAGTACTAGTAAAGGGGCTCTTCGAAAAAGAAGGCATTCTGGTAGGAAGGCCGACCACTACATAAGTCGCCATCAGTCTAGGAGAGAAGCAAGCTACCTTTCTTTGATCCACCTTCCCGGGCAGGGAAGAGAACGCAAATGGACCGCGGATGGTGGTCGTGGTAAATTCCAGTATCTTACGCTGCGGAGCGAACTCTTCTATCGTCTTGCATTTCCTCTGGTGGGCCCCCCCTTTCCATCGTACTGGAGCGATTTGAGAAGAACGATTAGGGTCATATTCTATCCTTTCTACAATGCCCATAGACGAAGTGCTTCGTTTCAGATCAATTCTTCGCTGCAATCGCTTCGACCCACCCCCTCGGTGAAAAACCGTAATACGTCCTGAAGAATTCCTACCAGCAGACTTCCCTGTACTCAAAGTGAATTGTCTAAGTGCTCTCCTTTGTCTCATTGTCTATCTCGTAATCATTCGATTCCGCCTCTACAAAGGCTAGCTCCTACTCCTCCTCCTTCTCTTCCTTCATCGTCGTTGGTCCTTCGTTCGTAGTGGTCATTGTATAGTGAGAAAGCTCCCCCTGCCTTTAGATGAGAAAGCCCTCTTTTACATACACAACGACGGTTCCAAGGAGTAGTTTATAGTCGACTCAATATCGACGAAATCCCCCCATTTGATCTCTTTAGTACCGATTGTTTTGTAGTGCACCCTTCATCGAAAGAGTAGGCGGTTGAAAGACCCATCTCTGAATAAAGCCTTTAGGTTGGGAGATATCAAAGGGGACCTTCGCCTAGCTGTCCCTGTATTATTCAACTCATCTGTCCACTTATCTTGTCCAAAGCAGAAGGATTATCGGTTACCTTTGTTTCGAAGGTAATCCGCCAGTCTCTAGACTGGAAAAGATTCAATCCACTTGTTGGCCTCCTTTTGTAGGTCGGTCATCTGTTCAATCTGGAATTCCATCTCTTGTTTGGTTTCTGGTACCGGTTTAAGTTCCTTTGTTCAAATCAATATCTATGTCAGGCTTCCCTTCCCGGTTGTCCTGTCCTGTTCAATCCGTTGTTCTTCTGTCTGAGGAAAACGTGAAGAATTGCCATTTTATGAGCTTGTAAGGCCCCGTTGAAGTCCCCGAATAAAGGGGAAAATAGGGCTATAAGTAGGCCGTTTGCTAGTGCTATAAGGGCTGCTCGCCTTTATACGGCTTGGCTTCGCTATCGCTCCTATGTAGTGGTCGACCTAAAAAGTCGTATTCCTGCCATACCAGAATGCCTTATTATCTAGTGCTAGAAGCTTCGCCAGAAGCAAGCAAGATGAGGGCGCTCTGCTTCGTAGACAAGGCTCGTTCCGTACTTGACTTACGAGCTCGTGTAGTACTTGCCCCTATCTCTAAAGGGGCTTATGCACTCCACTCGCTGTCTACTAAACGAGCGTTAGAGCGAGCGAGCGAAGCTTTCAATTTAGTGGCTTCCCCCCTTTCCCCTCACCCTACTCTTTTATTTTCGCTTAAGCTTCCCCGGTTTGGGGGCTTAATTGATTGGATACCCGAGAACCATAATCTTTCCTAGAAACTGCTTCTACGACGATAGATAGGGGTCAGGTTTGTTTGGCATCTATGCCCCCTGCCCTCCAAACAGTATGGGAGCCTTTCAGCTCGTACTGCTCACACTCCTAGATCTTCACGGCACCTCCTCTACCATAGTGTAAGCTGGGAGCAGCTCCGAAAAGCGAGGCTTACTTAAAAATTAGCTTTCAACAACGTCAACAACACCACGAAAAAAGTCAACTATGGTTGCCCACTGATCTGATCATAGGTTAAATCCAATCCCTTCGCTTCGCGCCAGGCTTGGAAACCGTAAGTCAGGCCCCCTTCGCCTCTCGGAAGCGAGAAAGCGAGCAGCAAGCTGAAAAAGCCCTTTTCCTTTTTAATAATAAATAAGGTAAGCTTCATAGCTCCAACCTAGTAAAGGGTCAAGGCAAAACCAGCTGAAGGAAGGGCTTCATAGCCTTACCTTATTCCTTATTAAATTCAAAGGAGAGCTTTTTATTATTATTCTTATTGTATTGGATATTTTAAAAAGACTAAAAACCTAGCCTTGTTTTTTAGTCTTTTTAATCTAATAAGGGGGCTGGGAATCGCAAGAATTGAGAAGTCCTCCATTGAATTGAATAGGGTGAGAAAGACAGGTTCGGAAATGGCCGGATTAGCAGGAGGAAGGGCGGCCCCACCCTGAAACAAAAGTGTACGTACATAAATAAAGAGGCTGGTTATGGCCTTTACTTGACTTGATAGGGCTCCTTCCCATCTATCTTGACCGGGAAGAGGGGGGAGGCTCTTGCGGAAGCCCCGCCCGCCCTTCTCTATTTTGATTTTGAGGGATCCCTCATATTGAGGAGGCTTCCCGGACTCGTAACATACGGCTAAAAACAAGAAGAGGGTCAGTAGTCTCTGCCGTTGCAGGTCCTTCTCCTTCCGCTGAGACGGCCCTCTTTTTTTTGTTTTGTTTGTTCACCGCGACACGAAATCATAAAGAAGCTGGAATAACTCAGAAAGAGAGTGGCGCCTAGCCGTTGAGAGCGTCTGTTGTCTTTGTAGAGGAACAGTACGATCTTGGACTGGCCCCCTTCGCATGACCTAGAAAGAAAAAGAAGTCCGTGCTACTATAAGGCCTCTAAACTCCTCCCTCAGGGACACTCTTGCGTTGCCCATGGGGACGGGGTAGCCCCGACTTCCATAGGTCCTTGGTTCGACCTCCTAATGAGAATTGAGGTCCTTGCGCGGGCGTCTCATCCCTAAGACTTGCTTGCTCTGTATGGAGTGTCCCGTGGTTCCTCGAGTGCCAGCCGCAGAGAGGAATGCCATCAACTAGGGCGCTATTGACCACTAACCACTCGCTCGCCGGCCGCTCGGGCTCCGCGTTTCAAGTTCGTTATCCTAACCGTCTCCTCTCCTCCACCGGGAGCCTGGCCCCTTCTTCTATCTTATCTACTGCCTTGCTCCTCGGCTCCATACTGCTCCAGCCGCTCGCTGTAATAGCTTGCTTATAGGGTGGCTCGCACCCTGGGTGGTGCGGCTGAGCCAGAGTGGGCTCAGCAGTCGGCCTATGTTTCCGGGCGCACGCGTAAAGGCATGATTAGTTCCACAAATCTCACTGCACTGACCATAGTAAACTCCTTCTCGTTGTACCGAAATAGAGGTCTGATTTAAACGACCAGGTACAGCATCACATTTGACACCTAAGGAAGGTACAGCCCAACTATGAGGTACATCAGCAGGTGTTACAATAATACGTAAATGAGTTTTTTCTGGTACAACCACTCTATTGTCCACTTCTAATAAACGTGATTGACCCAATTCTGGATCATCTTCTGGAATCGTATAACTGTCAAAAGTGAGTGACTCTTCATCGGAACTGTTATAATCCGAATACTCATAAGTCCAATACCATTGATGTCCAATAGCTTTGATAGTAATGGCTGGATCTACTACTACCTCGTCCATTGAATATAACAGAGCAAATGATGGTATAGCAATGAACATCAGGATGATACTAGGAAATATGGTCCAAAGAATCTCGATAGTAGTTCCATGAACAATCCTTTGCGGGATTGGATTTTTTTTATAGTGGAAGTGCCATAAAGCGCGAACCAAGATCCATGATACGAAAACAAAAATCAGAATAAGGAAGAAAAAGATATCGTGATGTAAGTCTATTATTCCTTGCATCATAGGTGTTGCTGCGTCTTGAGATCCTAATTGCCACGGTTCCGCTGCATCACAAGGAGCAATTGTGAGGAATAGCCATTCTAGAACAATCATTTGCTTTGGTTCATTCTTTCACTGCTCTGCTCCCCCCCAAAAAAAGAGAGACTTGCTCTCCCAATTCAGGAAGTCGGAAATGGCCGGTTGGGTTGGTCCAACCAAGAAAGGCATGGGAGTCTTTGGGCATTGCTTGGGCCGAGTTAAGTAAAGACTGGCTACCTAGTGATTGACAAGCACCCTCACTGCACACTTTCTATATATCTGTCTCCATTATCGGCTGCATGTTTTAGTTATGAATCGGAGATAAAAGGGAGGTTACAATTTAGAATCCGCTATTAGTCTTGTCATTTATTCTTGCTTCAAGCTTAGGGAAGCCTGTTTACTTAGACATCTCGGGATGGGGAATGAATAATGACGTAGACCCTCTTATGAGTCTTACGCGGGTGAGGCCCTGCCTTACTTAAATAAATCTCCTTTTCGTTTTCGGAATCATCTTCTATCCCCAGCAGCAGGAACCCCTTCTTTCATGAGCCTAGGGGCACCAATTCACAGCCTGCGAAGTTCTAGCTTCCCCTTATCTTGTCTCAATATGAAGTCTTGGTCTTCAGTCCCAATCTGATCGAAGAAAAGAAGTCGAACTTCGGGGGCAAAGACGCTCTCATTACGTACATTATGTAAAGAGCACTCGCTTTGTCTCGTGAGCTTAACCTTAGGCTAGGCTCCTTTCTCATAACTTAAGGTTGAGCTCGCTTCCCAACAAGCAATCGCTCCTTGGAAGAAAGAATGACTTTAGAAGAACTTGGCCGGGCTTTTCCTTTTAAGTAAATAAGAATAAGTAAAGCCGGATTATTCGACCGCACCCCTTTGCTCTCAAGCCTTGCTTTCAGGTGAAGTTTCAGTCTAGAGGCTAGGAGTGAGGCTCTTTCCCTACTAATATGCGGATTCTCCTTATGCTATTGCTATGGTGGTATACGCCATGGGCTGGGAACAACGGTAAACGTAAGGCCTTGTTGACTTTACGAAAGTAGGCTAGGCTTGCTGCGGAAGAGAAAGTGGACTCCCTCGACCAGATAGGAAAAGACTCGCTTTTTGGAAAAGGATGGTCTGCTCTACATCAAGGGGAATAATCTTTTTGTCCCAAGGTAGGATAACATACGTAGGGACTTGTTGAAGTAGTATCACGATACTCGCTGGACAGGGCATCCCGGTCAGCACCGGCGTTGTTTGGCGCTCGACTGAAAAAAGGGCAGGATGGATGGAAAGAAGTCAATTTAAAGCACTAATTCTGTTCTTTGATCGGAGGTCTCATAGATCTTCTTCAATACCTTCTTACTTAATGCTAACCGAGAAATAGCGCTCATCAGGGTGGTTTGCTCGGGTTAGCCAAGAAAGCCTTAGCGCGCAAAGGCATAGAGCTCAAACACAGGCTTAGTAAGAGATTCAAAGAGTGTAGTTAACGGTCCTCGCTCGGGGGATTCGGCTTAGTCACCATCTCTGGCCATGAATCAAAGATTCCTCCTGGCGAGCAGGGCCGAGCCATGAAGGAAAGGGCAAAAGGAGGTTGCTTGCTCTCAGTCTCTACCTCTTCTTTTTGACCTAACTTCAAAATCTTTTATGCTCGGCCATACCAACATGGTAATGTAAATTCCCTCCCTTTGAAGTGCATTTATCAGATCAGCTCCCCGAGTCACTAGAAAGAGGGTGAAAGGCCCACTACTTCTTCATTCATGGCCTATTTTTTGATTGATCTCCCTTTCGTATTCATTCGACCTGAGGCAAAAGAGAAGTCATACAAAGAAAGGTTCTTTCATGCAATGCATAACGGGCGGGCCTCCTATGATGGATTCCTCCAACTCAATGAATGAAGGGAGGAGTATGAGAAATTTGAATCTATATGAAGATTCAAACAAAAAGGAAAAAGGAACCATATCTTACTGAATAATCTGACTGAATGAGCAAGAGCTCTTTATGTGGTCTCACTTTACCACCATCTGAAATGCGCGAAACTTCGATTGGTGGAAGCCAGTCCATGAAGATTCTCCCTTTTCTTACGTGCAATTCCCCTCTTTCGGTAAGCATCCAGTATCTCAGCAAATGAACATTTCTCTAAGCTTATCCTGTAGTTTATACGTCGTTTGAAAGCTGCTTCAAGGATCCAACGAATAGCTAAGGTTTGTTGACGATCCCTGGCTACAATCCCAGGGACATCATAAATAGTACCTGCTATTCCTACTTTTTCCACTTCGCATATGGGCTTTATATTCTCTAGGGCGTCAACCATAAGTTTGATTACATCGCGTTCAGTTCGAGCTGGGCGATGAAAAGTTTGATAAAGAATAGCACGAACTCTTGTTTTTTTACCTTCTTTCATGCGAAAGTTGACCAACTTCTTGATCAATTGTTTTTGTTCACGATCCAAGCCCCCCATATAGTTTAGAATTTCCGAGCAATTGGAAGCCGCTTTCGATGACGAGGCCGAAAAATTTATATTACGCAATCCTTACTGTCCATCTTTATCCGCCAACTCCCCTGTTTCCATCTTTCCTTTCAGAGTTTACCACTCTTCAACGCTTCTTGAACTTTGTTTAGGGTCTCGCTCCCTGAGTTCAAGAGTATACACTCTCGCGTCATACGGCTCCGTCCCGGAATCAGGACCTTCCCTTTCCTTTGACCAACGGGTCCTCAAACCAACTTGTCCTTCCTTTCTATTTCTCGGTAAGCGGTTACGCTCGTTTTGGGTCACATAAAAAATAGAGAAAGGATCTATACGTGTCTGATTCTCGGCCATTCATTCGCAAGTAACTTATAAGACGTGAGAGATGCTCTAAGTCATAACGGGGAAGGCCGGAGACTTCACTCAAATGGGGGGCGGCTTTCTCCTCAATAAAATGAAAGGCTGCTTCTTGTTTTATAAATTTAGAACTCAATAATAAATATTTACTTGGCATTAGGTTCGCGAAGAAGAAGATCACAAATGAGATCTTGAGCTTCTTGCTTACTCTTCCGAATCGAAAGATCTCTTATCTCCGAGGTGAGGATGGCCTCATAAACTGGTTTGCCCAAGGTGGACGCTCGATCCAACTGATCTTTCACAAGGGCCAAGTAGCCCCCTGGACGAGTTTGGGGAAAATTGTTAGAGGGATCTAAAGATTCAAGTCTCTTTATACGGTTAAATAAAGACCTTTCTATTTTGGCATTCTCGGTCCTATATGGAGGAAGCACCTCTTCTCCTGCATCCCTTTGATTGCTTAGTATCTCCTCCTTGCCGCACTCTTCTGGTACAAAGGACTAGACTGATAATTGTGTATATAAAGAAGAGTTTAGTCTTTCTTCAAAAAAGTAAGATAGTTGATCGAGAAACCTCCGCCCAAAGGTGCTTTTTGAAAGCCGGTCACCGGTAGGCTAAGAACCTTTCTTACTTATGAAGAAAGTTACAACTCTAGTGAAATTGTAAGGGGAGATACTCAATATATCATTTTTTTTTTTCTCGATGCTTTGAATAGCCTAGTTTCGTACCCAAGAAGCAAGGGATGATACTTTCTTTCTGATCTACTCCCACTCTCAGCTGCAACTTTTTGTGGTTATTGTTACCTACCCGTGTGCCCCTGAGACAAACGGCTGATGCCAACTTATTTAATGCATCCTTTCACAACTCTTCATATTGTAAAAAAAAAACCTTTTCAAATCAGCTACCACGAGAGGAGGTTCACATTCACCGCCGTCTCGTACAGATTAGTGAGTGGCCAAACTAACGAAATCGAATGCGGGCTCTGTGCCTAGCGGTAGGGCTGTGGTATATGTATTTCCAATGTCCTATTATTCTCCAGCTGTGGCGCACTCACTGGAGATGATCACCTCTCTTTCTCCATTACTCTTCTGCCATATAAACCTTTCCAGCCTTGACACATTCGCCAGTTCTAGGGGTAGAGGGAATCTTTGTATTCGGTCCTAAATGGTTTCATCAATCTAAGCGATACTCTTTCAACGGTGCCCGGATGCTTCCTGTTTTCAAGATTTTTCTAGGCCTCATGAATTTTGATTCTATTTTCCATTCTATCACGCAATTTGAATCTATCTATTCCGGAATCGTCGTTTAATATCCAAAAATAAAAAGGTAAAAGCGGCTGTATAGGTAATGTATTTGGGTTCAACCTGATGCCTCATGAGTAAGATTTCTTGAATGTTTGCCTAGGCGGATTGCCTTTATACTTTTGAATGCTCTATCTTCAGGATGGCTTGTTAGAATCAGAAGAGCACTGTCCAGTATATCGCTGATCCTATGACTAACCATTTGACCCTTATTAGCTTAGCTTATTAGGTAGCCTTTGTTGACAACCCATCTATATATTTTCTTTAGGGGATCGTCATGCAACCATTAAGGGGGTAAGGTTGAACAGTTTAATGACCTTACCAGAGGTAAGCCTCTACCTATCCAACGTACGTTGGCAGTTTGATTTCCTCTTCTTTCGGGCTCGAGTTTGTGTGGCCAGTTTCAGTCTGGCTGGCTTGGATTGTTTCGGGCATATTGTTGGGCGAAACCCAGTTCACCCATTTCTGAGAATCAAATTTACGGAAAAACTGAGCTTCCGCAACAGGGTCATTTGAGACTATAGAATTCGTTATGTTTGTCATTTGAGCTTTGGTCGGGAGGCTTCAAGGTCGATGCTCAGTTGGGGTAGGCACGTTATCACTAGGGTCAGTATTGGCCTTTTTTGATTGTTCCGTGATCCAGCACTAGAAAGCCTCCAGATAGATTCCTCCAAATCATATCTATCCATTGTTCACAGAAGGGAATTCTTTCTCAGCCTTTCCCATCCATCTTACCATACGGGACCCACTTAATCCGTTCGATGTCTCATCAGTACGACCCGGCATTCAGTAAGGCAAAAGAAAAAATGCCACTGAGTCTTTGCCTTCTGGTCCCTGTTTCATTCTGGGACGTGGAGGTATTAGTTCCACCTTTTTTTCGGTACAATAGACCTTTCAAGGTGGAGTATTAGCCCATGTAAATATGATGGGGGAGCTAATAAACACGCTCCGGGAAGGAAAGCCCATTTGTGTAAATATTTAACATTTTGTTTCGCACCATTCCATAATTCAAACGCTTGTTGTACAATGTATGACCCCTCGAGTCGCTTCGTACCCAAATGGTATTGACCCTTCTTCGAGGTTTGGTTTTAAGTGTACAATAGCTTTGCAAGGCTATTGAGGTCCAGGTTCGGTAACCTTTCTATCGCCCTATTCCTACTGGTATCCATGACCTGTAGATGGAGGCCCACCTTCCCTTGGATACAAAGAATAATAAGCTGAGCTAATGTTCTTGAATTTTTTGCCTCTCCTCGAAAAATTCGATTATTTCTTTCCTGCCATATGTGATAAACACTATATATAAATGAGAGCTTAGGATCTTTCCATGTAAATTCCCGCCACGCAGATAGGCACAAAGCCAGTTAAGGGCCTGAGTCCAAGCATAGAGCTATACCGCAAGCCAGATTTGCTCAAGACTTGGTCCCAGATTGCTCGGCTGAATTGGCATTCAAAGAATAAGTGGTGAACAGTTTCAAGACTTCCATTGCATAAGACACATGTATTGGTATTCACAGTACCAAACTCAAGAAGCTTGTCTCTGGTCATGAGGCCATTGTTTATGGCGAGCCAAGCTATAAAGGAGTAGCGAGGCACTGCACCTTTGAACCAAATGAGGCTGGACCAAGATACCACAGGCTTGCAAGACCTGATAGAATTCCATGTAGAGGCAAGACTGAAGTTCCCAGAGGGTGCAGGGGTTCAAACGATTTTATCATCCTGACTACTCCGCAGCCGGGGAATGGAAGGAAGGTCCTGCCAGAATAAGCTGAGGTGGAGAATAGGAATATCTGGTGGTCTCCACCTCATTCCATCTATCCTCGGATTTTTCCTCTTCCTCTCCTTTCAGTCGAGCGATTTCATACCTCTCCCTTCGGTCTCGCTTCCTGCCATCCAGCCTCTGTCATAGGCCTTTATCTGACCAAGTATACAAAGATGAAAGCAGCTATGGCGAATGAAGTGGGGCATTCAATCTCATATCCAAGGGTGATCCACGAGCCTACGAAAGGTCATATCTGATAGAGAACTATACACTATACAATCAAATAGAAATATCCCTGGGATAATTCATTACTGTCCGGGTGAAAAGGAAAAGCTCCTCAAGATACAAGAAATAGAAGCTACTATATAAATACATTCTGCCATCACAAATTGAGAGAGGAATAAGTAAGTGCAAGTCAAGAGGGAAGAAGAAGCACAAGCAAGAGAGGGCGAGCTATGCAACTTGACAATTCATACCAAGCTCTTCAACAAAGATAGGGCACGGCCAAAAAAAAAAGACTGTATGGACCAGCATTTCGGTACTGCACTAAATCGATCGGCGGTAAGCATCTATAATAGCTTCAAGTGATGGTAATTAAAAGACAAAAATGGAAAGAAGAGAGACTCAGACTAAGAAGCCAATATCGCAATGATTAGGAATCTCCAGCGATAAGAAGATCAGAGATAGAGATCCACCATCGAAAGGAAAGGGCGGAAGCTCTGCATTTGTCACATGGTCTGTGCCTCTCTCGCAGATCAGTTCACTTATGTCGGCGGCGAGCCTTACGGAGGGCATCTAGGACCCGCCTTCTACGGATGGGTCTTCAAGCATTATCCATCCCTTGCTCCCGGCGCAGTAAGTCTCCCGCTGCACTATGGGGCTGGAGAGAGAAGCGATGCCGAGTCACCGATCCCATCGAAATGGCCCAGACACTAGACACTAAATTCCATCCAGCCTGGTGTCCACGTTCCATTGCGCTGGTGTCGATGATCTCGAAAGACCGCGTCGGGGACGTTGAAGTGCATTATTACGGCATAGAGCAAGAGGAGCGTGGGGTTGTGCAGCTGGGGCATACCCTTTCCGGGTACTGCTCATCTGTAAACACAATTATCCGCAACCCAATTTGGCCTTGCGCAAGACGGCTGCTGCTCGACCAAGCTGCTCCAATGTTCGAGCCGATAAATGTATCAGAGTGTTCGATGGTTTGCTGCCTCAGCCATCATAAGACTTCGAAGATCAAAATCTTCAGCGAGGCACACCCGGACCTCATGAACCGCTATCTGTATCCATACCTTGTTGGGTTCGCGCACAAGATTATTCTGCCCTACATGGATAGACAACCCCGGTGGGTGGGCTCGTGGAAGGATGCATACAAGGCGGCTGTAACATCCAGCGAACTCATGCGGGGAATTTCTCCAAACTGTATCTACCCGCGTGAGTGGATTGTCAGGGCAGCGGTAATGGCAGCTGAAGCGGGAAAGCCAGACCCGAAGATCTCCTTCATTCAACCGGAAGGGGAGAGGGGAACTTGGCGTCTGGACGAGGAGGAACTGGCCAAGGCACGGAGGGCGCTACAATCTCTCGAGGAGTTCTTGAAGGAGAGAGAGGATGAATCTGCTACTCTTGCCGGCCAGCTCGCAGAGAGGGAGGCAGCACATGAGGCCGCCACCCAAGAACTTGCCGAGTTGAATGAGGCCTTGGGGGAGAAGAGGCGAACGCTGGAGATGCTGGGTTCGGGACGTAAGAAGAAGACACCATTCGCACAGCGATCATTGTAATGATTCCGATCATGTAAGGCCAATGACACGCTGTAAGGAAATGATGGCAATTCTGAAGAAAATCCGCCTCCATCATCTCCTGCGAGGTCTTAAGTGTCGACAGGTGGTACCCTGAAGTGCCTGACAGGATTTGAACCTAAGGATGCACTGTCTCCACAGCCTCACCACTAAAGTGACTTCAGCGGTAAAACAACAAGTGATCTGGTCTGGTCTAGCAACAATTGTATTATTTAGTTATCGTCTCTATCTTCAAGTAGTCCTGCTCTACCAACGCTTAGCTAATAAGACCCGCATATTTCTTAATAAGCCAGTCAGACCCTATCGATTCACAGAAGGAAAGAAGAAGACAGAGCCAGTTATTCCCATCTCTACCTTAGCATAGTCAGAATGTGGATAGACGGTACGGAGCAAGAAAACGGCGTTAGCGCAACGGTGGTCGTAGATCAACAGATCAATCCCTTGCTTGTTTGCTAAAGAGGCTGATTCCGAACCGTAGTACAGTACGTACCTCAGCGCCTAGAAGAAAGCTTTCACTGACTTTGTTTTACTATACAAAGAAATTCCCATTGAGAGCGAACTAAAGGAATGGACGGGATCAGGATGCGATCGACCTTTACCTTAGCAGTAATAGAGATAGCATAGCTGTAGACAGGGGCAGGGCCCGAGACATATTATATAGAATAAAGACGGGAGTCGCTTTGATTGATTGCTTGCGACAGCTTATCGATGCTCGTTATAGCGGTGAAGTTCCTCAAACCAGAAATTTCAATGGGCTACGAGAGAAATGAACTTTACATACTGATATCGCATACCGAAGGGAAGGCCTAATTGTACCACTCCTCCTTACCTTCCGCCTGCCGTCCCCCTCCTCTTGCTTTGCTAGCTTTCCTTTTCAACTCGGAAGCACTTAGCCTTTCCCCTAAGCTGATCCAGCTGATGCGAGAGTTCCAGCTCAAGCACCTATTTCTTTTGTACCTTCATTCAATTCACAGATAGTGATTGCGCCAATTCATTCATTAAAGAAAGATTTTCGCTTGCTAATTAGAAGAGTGTCATACTCAATCAATTAAAGATAGACTCTCTCTCTTCTATACGATAGGCTAGTCCCATATGTTAACTAGCGGAACTCTTGAAGGAGGGAAGTCTAAGAAACACAATATTTAAGCTTATCTATTACATGAGTCCCCCCGAAACCCCATGCTCCTTCGGTACGTTCTTCTTTATTTCGTTCTTTCATGTGCTTTCTGGAAAAAATTCCTTATACCATCGCTCGAAGGGCGGATTCCGCGGAGCTACTATAACTATAATAAGAAGTCGAAAAAAGCCTATTTTTAGCATGTTCATGTTCCTCTCGTACGTTCATGATATTGCTTTCACATGGCTCTTCAAGGCTCAACTAAATGAACTATAATGGACTTAGCTTGCTCGTGTAAAAACTTCATATCGTCCTGCTACCTTGACTTCATACTTTGAGTATATACCTTTGTCCTATTCTTTTATCGTAAACTTGGCTATTGCCATATACCTCCTCTTTCGGGTAGTATAATTTGAAGTTCTATTAATTCCTCCTTATGGTATCGTATTCCCCCATTCAAGCCTCTGTTATATGTTCTAATGGAATTTCCTTTCGTAGGCTCAAAAAGTTGTCATTCTTCAGATCTTTGTTGATTGGCCGGCCGATATGGGATAACCTATTTGAAACAAAGAGATTTGTGTAACGGCTTGGTGTACCGAACTTGGCTTATACATTCTCCTATTATACTGCATCCGCCAGTCGAACAAGTAAGGGATTCCTCGCCCGGTGTGCTGCCTTGGTAAGCTCGATACCAGGGCATCTTTTTACACCATTGATAGCTAAGGATTCGGACCCTAGTACTCACTTATGAGAGAGTAGACATCAATCATCCTATCTCTTTCTTCCTTTACCAACCAATCACGTAATCATATCATATTTCATTGTCGTCGCAGATGGGACCAAACAATTATCATTGTCTCGATTCGTACACACGTACAAGAGAAAGCACTAAAGGGATACGTTAACGCTATCTCCGAGAAGTAGAGTGCTATGAGGCATGGCTTTTTTCCATCTCATTCGGGATGCTTTGCTTATTTCTCTTCCTTCTTTCTTTCGTGATATAGGGTTCGGGAAGAGAAAGCCTTGTCTTATTAAATTAAGTAGTGCAATCATTAATGATGTGACATCTCTAAAGGAAACAATGCTCAAAGTCGAGAAAGCTATAAAGAATAAAACAAAGCAAATCTTGATGAATGAAGTCTCACATTGGATCATCAGACAAGGCAGGGAAAGCAGACTGAGACTACGACCAAGCGAACCATACTGATTCAGTTCATCTACTCGACTTTACTCTACTTATATTGTATTTGACAGAGGAATGTGATTCTTTCTCATCTTTATCCTTCCCCATACGATGATGCTGTCTAGTTCATTTTACATTCCTACTATTAGTCTATCTCTTCTGATTGATCATTGAAAAAACAAACCTTCTCCATAGTCTGATTCTTGCCCACCGTCCTGTGCTATTAGATGAAGAGAGGTATGATCGCAGGGACCATCTTCTGACCCCACCCTAGCCCATCTTTTCCGATCTCTTAGCCTAGCCTACCAGATCAATGGACTTAGCCGATCCGAGCCATCAAAGACCAAACTGTATAACCTGGATCCGTTTGTTAGGAAGACCACAAGTAGTTGTCACACAGCGTTGATCAGTCTCATTTCAATCATTAAATTGTTTTAGCTCATCATATGGGAAAACAAATAAACCATTTTTTTCCTAATAGCAGGTGATCTTGATCGATTAAGTCTGATCTCATTATATCTATTAGTGAAATCCATTCAATGGCCATTTACCGTCACGATCTCACCCGATCAATGGCAAGAGGATCAATCATCTTGATTCAATTCCAATCTCGTAATGAAAGAGATTAAGGCTTGTTCACTATCGAAAGAAAGCTCCTTGATTTGATGATCTCAGTATTCCAGTACTGTGTTAAGAAGATATCCCTATTGATCTATTAAATAACGATAGGTCTTGTCAGAGCCTTCTTCTTCTAGCACTGGTGCATCTAGACGAGGCTAGGCTACTTTTTATATACTAGATTTAGACGAGAGGGGAAAGCTAGAGATAGCTAGATGTATAAATCTTCAGTTGACTAGGCACTGTGCGAATAAACAGAGAGACAGAAGGCAAGGTTGGCGGGCAAGGAAAGTTGTTGTCTAAAGCCGGTAAGGAAGTGCTTTTGAAAGCTGTAGCTCAAGCTATCCCTGTATATGCAATGAGCTGTTTTAGACTTCCGGATGGGCTCTTTCAGGAGTTAAACTCTCTCATGTCCAATTTCTGGTGGGGGAAGGGAGATAAAGGTGGAAAAATGCACTGGGTTTCTTGGGAAAAATTGTGCTACCCCAAATCCGGGGTCTTGGTTTCAGGGATCTAAAAGCCTTCAACCTTGCCATGTTAGCTAAACAAGGTTGGCGCATTCTGACTTGTTTTAATTCTTTGCTTCACAAAATCCTTAAGGTTTGGAACCCTCATTGCTCTTTTCTAGAAGCGGGAGTAAACCATCTTTTACTTGGCGAAGCATTTTGCAGGCTCGTTCCGTCATTGAACATGGTGTTAGATGGAGGATTGGCAATGGGGCAAGCGTTAGAATCTGGCATGATAAATGGGTACCAGTTCCACGATCATTTAGGGTGATTCGCCCTATTTCGCAATTGGAACAGTAAGTGATCTTATTGACTCTGAAAGGAAGTGTTGGAAAGAAGATATTATTAGGAATGTCTTTTTGGGTTTTGAAGCTGACAGGATTTTGAGTATTACTCTAAGCCCTTTTCTACCTAGTAACAGACTTTTAAGGCACTATACAAAGAATGGTTGGTTTCTTCTCAGTTAAATCCGCATACCATTTGATTCTGTAGCTTGGATTATCCAAAGGGAACAGAGAGAATGTAGATGTTGGGAGCTCTAACGATAATGACAGCTGGTCATTTATTTGGTCAGCACATGTTCCTAACAAAGTGAAGCACTTCATTTGGAGAGTATGTTCAGACTCTCTTCCAACGCAAAATAATATACTGTTGCGTAATATCTATGTGGCAAATGAATGTTACTTCTGCAATGAAAGGCCTGAGACAGCTTTGCATGTTCTTTGTAAATGTAGCTATGCTTACCAGGTTTGGAAAATTTTTGGTGTTGGCATAGCTTGTGCTGAGATGCAAAGTCCGAGGGACTGGATAGAGTAAAATCAAAAGGTGCTAAAGTCTTCAGACTTTGCACTTTTGTTGGTGTTACTCTGGAATATTTGGTTTAATAGAAACAGGGCAAGGCTTGGGAAACTTTTGTATAACCCCATGGAAGTGGTGGAATTTGCCCAAAATTCTCTTCAGCGGTATCGTGAAGCTTGTGCGTCAGAGCTTGAGAATGATCAGTTTTCTTCTTCAGTTCGATGGAAACTCCCTGCTCAAGGTTACGTGAAAATTCATTTCGATGGTGCAAGATTTGATAATATTGCAGCATCGGGGATTGGAATTATTGTCCGTAAATCATTATGGAGATTTTTTGGTAGCGTTGTCCAAGCGTTTTCCTTATTTTTATACAGCTGAACACATTGAAGCGCTTGCAGCGTTACAAGCAATTCAATTGGCTATTCAGTTCAATTTTTCCTCAGTTGAGTTAGAAGGCGACTGCTTGTCAGTGCTGAATTCACTAAAATGCGATGGAGAAGATCTTTCAAGCATCGGAGACATTATTGAAGCTGCTAAACTGGAATTGGCTAACCTTCAGAATTGAGTTATCTCTTTTGTCAGGAGGTCCGGGAATAAGGTGTCACATATGTTGGCTCGACATGCTCAGAATGTGGAAGATGTTGTATTATGGGCCGAGGAGCCTCCTGAATTTATTGTTTCAGTTCTTAATCAGGATGTATCTTACTTTTGAAATATGAATGAATTTACATCGCTTTTTCTCAAAAAAGAAAATCAAAAA